AATAATCACCCGATAAGCTGCCCATTGACCTGATCTGAGTCTCCAATCGTTTACAATTGGCTAGACATCCCTGATATGAATGATATTTCGGTCGACTACTACTACTACTACTAGTACTGGTCTGATAGTCCATACATTGCGATCGATAAGGTCGGGGCAATATTTGGACAACTGTTTGCTGATACTCGATGGCCGTCCAATTGTATTTCATGTCTAACAATAGATACCCGGCCTGTTTGGAGCTTTCCAATCGCCGATCACCGGTATGTATGTGCACCGCTAGTTTGGTATTGTCGCCCATCGATAGATTCAATAGTACTAATAAATATTCAAAATTTCGACGTTTAGCCCGATTGTTGCTAACAGTGAATAGGCTATCCGGTTGACGATCGCCGCCGCTGCCGTCGGCATTAAATTGTTGGCCCAAAAGTGTAAAACAATAATCACTAAAATCGATTGCATATGCAATTTCCGATATATCACTGCATAGGACTCCATGTTTATATTTTTTATTATTATTTGATGTTTGATTTTGTTGTTGTTGTCGATTACTACTACTACTACTACTTTTACTACTAAAATATTCAGTTTCATCAACTAAACAGTTATTGTTAGCCATCGACAGCAGCTCCTGTGGTGACCCAAGTTTATCAAACTGTTCCCTAATTGTCATATTAGTATTGATCCAATTTTCCCAATTATTAACCCTATTGTCGACTGGTATTATCGATAGTCGTTGTCTAATAAATCGGATTTTATTCAAACATAGACTAATAGCTGGCAATCGTATCTGTGATTGCAATTCATAGTTAACATCGGTTATGATTTCGTACATTAAATATAGTCTAATCAATGACGATAATTGTATTAAACAGCCAATTGTGCATGATAATTTTATTAAATGATTAGGCTTAATATTATTTAAATAAGTCAACATTTTTACGTAACAACGTATAAAAGTAGTATACAGTATTAAGTAAAATTATAAATAATAAATAGTATTACAAATATATATATAAATAATTTGTAATTATTAGATATAAAAACAATTAAAATAAAATCGATAATATAACAGAAAAATATAATAACTTAACAAAAAATATTTTTGCAAAATATTTATTTATTTTTTATCAAGTTTTAACTACTATTTAATAATTGTTTTTTATATAAAACAATAATTAAACTAAGAAAACAATTATTATTATTATTAAAAAAAATATTGTTTACAATTTTTATATATAAATCAATTTATTGTATAAATTATTATTTAATTAAAATCAATATTATTTTTTTAAATAAGTTTTTTTTAAATAAAATTTTTATTATATTTTTCAATATTTATAATTATTAATAGAATTTATTAATTTGTATATTTTGTTTAATTATACAACTTTTTGATTATTATAAATAGTAATTTTTTAAAAATAAAATTTGATTAATTTATTAATTTTTTGTTTTTTTTAAAATTGTATTTGATATAAAAAATATATAATAATAATAATTTGAATTTATTATAAAATAGTATTATTTATCACAAAATATATTATTAGCAAAAAAAATGATCAACAACAATTAAAATATATTACATTATAATTTATTCAATTTAATACATTATTAACTATATAAAATAATGTTATTAAAATATTAAGTTAAAAATTAATAATAATCGTATACATCCTAGGTAAATAAAAAATATTAATTAATAAAAAAAATTAGTACAATATATATATTTATCTTTATATATATATAATTTAACAATAATAATTTAGCTTTAGCATTAATACTCTATTATAAAAACACTTAAATTAAATAATATAATAGTAATATTATTATTATTATTTTATTATAAATATAATTTCATATATTTTCTAATTAATTAAGCTATTTATATTTAATTTATTTTATTAGGAGTTTTTACATTAAGCCTGTTGTAAACATAAATATATTTAATTTAAATCTAGATTTTGATTAAAATTATATCTAATATTGAATTATATGTTATAATTAAAAAAATAAAGCTAAATAAATAATATATATAAAAAAGATTATATTAATTTAAATATTATCAATTATTTATATAGCTATTAAGTTTTATTAATATTAAAGTTAATATTTTAGCATTTGATTCAAATCGGACATTAGTATTGGTATCGTAGCTAAAATATATTGAACTAATCTTCCCATGATTAATATTAGAAAACCACCTAGACACATTAGTTGATTAACATAAATTGATTAGGCTTACTTTGATTAATAAAGTAATTTTTAAAATAAACGTTTAAAATAAAGTTAATTTGATTATTAAGTAATCTAAAAATTGATTGAGTTTAATTTGACCATTATAATTAAATACGATATCATTTAGTTTATTTAGCTATAAAATTATGTTGTTTTAAGCTAAATATTTTATATTAATTAATTTTTATTACTTTCAATTATAGCAAAAACTATAAGAAATGATATAATTTTTATTTTACTTAAAACTTTAGTGAAAATTTACTTAAGCAATTTTTAATCAATTTATAATAGTAACAGAATTTTCGTCATAATTATTATTAATATTATTATTATTATTAGTAGTAGTAGTAGTAGTAGTTGTAGTAATAGTAGTAGTAATTTTATTATTGTTTATAATAATAAAATTTTCAATTTTATTAAATTTTAAACTAAAATAATTGCCAACAGTTTGATAACCGGTTTCAATGGCCATAACCAACGATAGGCCAAACCATAGGCTGACAATACTGGCCATTAGACACAGAAATTCGGTTAAATATAATTTCGGTGACTGTCTATAGTAAATGATCGGTAGCGACGGTAATAGTATCATAAAATTATTTAAACGATTTTTTGCTACACTAGTATTTGTATCAGTATTTGGTGGCCATTGACTAACTTGTAATTTATTAACCATAGTATAGTACTCTTGTCGACAATCGGGCGAATCTGTACACCAATCGTTGCATTTGGTATTAATTTCATCCATTATTGTGTAATTTTGTTGATATATATCAACAAATTTTCTATCAACTGACCGATTATAGGCTAAATAATCGCCCGATATGCTGCCCATTAACCGGGCCTGAGTTTCCGATCGTTTACAATCGGCTAGACATCCCTGATATGAATGATACGGTTGTCGACCACTACTACTAGCACTGGTCTGATAGTCCGTACACTGTGATCGATAAGGTCGTGGCAATAGTTGGACAATTGTTTGCTGATACTCGATGGCCGTCCAATTGTATCTCATGTCCAACAATGTAAACCCCGACTGACTGGAACTTTCCAATCGCCGATCACCCGGGTGTATGTGCAACGCTAGATCGGTATTGTCGCCCATCGATAGATTCAATAGTACTAATAAATATTCAAAATTTCTACGTTTAGCCCGATTGTTGCTAACAGTGTATCGGCTTTCCGGTTGACGGTAACCACCACTGTAACCAATGCCATAGCCGATGCCGCCACCGCCGTCGGCATTAAATTGTTGGCCCAAAAGTGTAAAACAATAATCACTAAAATCGATTGCATATGTAATTTCCGATATATCACTGCATAGGACTCCATGTTTATATGTATTATTATTATTTGATTTTTTATTTTGTTTTCTACTACTTTTACTACTAAAATATTCAGTTTCATCAACTAAACAGTTATTGTTAGCCATCGACAGCAGCTCCTGAGGTGTCCGAAGTTTTTCAAACTGTTCCCTAATTGTCATATTAGTATTGATCCAATGGTCCAAATTATTAACCATATTGTCTGATATTGATAGTCGTTGTCTAATAAATCCGATTTTATTCAAACATAGACTAATAGCTGGCAATCGTATCTGTGATTGCAATTCATAGTTAACATCGGTTATAATTTCATACATTAAATATAGATTAATCAATGATGTTAAGTGTATCAAACAGCCAATTGTGCATGATAATTTTATTAAATGATTAGGCTTAATATTTTTTAAATAAGTCAACATTTTTACTTAACAACGTAATACTGTATATACGTTATTAAGTAAAATTATAAAATAATAGTATCAACACTACAAGTATCAACAATTGTTTTATATATAAAAATTGTAAACAATATTTTTTTTATATAAATAATTATTAATTAAACCTAATTATTTTTCTTAGTTTAATTATTGTTTTATATAAAAAACTGTTATTAAATAGTAGTTAAAACTTGATAAATAAATAAATAAATATATTGCTTAAAATTTATTTGTTAAATTATTTTTATGCTACATTATCGATTTTATTTTAATTGTTTTTATATCTAATTATTACAAATTATATATATATATAATACTATATATATTATTTATAACTTTACTTATACTGTATATTATGTTGTATCTAAAATGTTGACTATCAGACTAAAAAGTATATTAAACATAAACATTTTATAAATTTATCATGCACAATTAGCTGTTTAATACATTTATATAATATTTTTTTTGCTTGTTTGCAATATATATATATTTTATTAAGTTTTAACTTTATAATAGTTTTTTATATAAAACAATAATTAACTAAGAAAACAATTATTATTATTATTATAAAAATTTAGGTTTAATTAATAATTATTAAAAAAAAATATTGTTTACAATTTTTATATATAAATCAATTTATTGTATAAACTATAATGTCATTAAAATCAATATAATTTTATATCAGCAAAATTTATTTTTTTTAATACAATATTTTCATTATTTTATTTTTCAATATTTATAATTATTAATAAAGTTTATTAATTTGTATATTTTATTTAGTAGTATTAGTAGAATATATTGACATTATATACTGTATGTGTAAATAAATTATATTTTTAAGTTTAATATTGTCAAAACTAAATATATTTTTATTAAAGTATACCAAAACATAAAATATTAACAAATAGTTATAAAATTAAATAAATAATTTTTTAGACAATTAATAAAATTTAGAAAATTTTTTGTTTGTTAATTAATTTTGTTTACATTTTTTGGTTTTCTCTTTAGTTTTATTCAAACATTGTTTATCATGAATACAATGTTTTATCGTAACAGTCAGACTTTATTTTTTCACAAAACATTTTTAATTGACCTAATTATAAATTATTATTTTTTTAAGTTATTTAAATGATTAAAATATTTATATTTTTTTTAATTAATTTATACAATTTATAGATATCTATAAATATACTATTTTCATGTCTATGTAGTTATAGATTTAATAATTATAGTTTAAATTAAAAAAAATACCTTGATTATTTTTTCGAATTATTTCAGCATAAGTTCTTTTCCGATTATTTTCTAAATTATACAACAACAAATATTATTTTAATATATAATTTAATATATTTATAAACAAAAATTAAAAATATAATCTATAAATCAAAAATAATAGAAAATAGATGCTTTAATGACTACTATCTTATATATATAAATTATTTTAATAAAAAATTTAAATCTATTTGAATAAATTAATTTCATCATAAATAATATAAAAAAAGATTAATAAAATTAAATATCACATTTAGTTCACAAACATATTATAAATATTGTAATTTATTTTGCTTTTATAAGTTTAAAACTATTTTTACAAAGCTATAATGTATTAGATATTAATACACTTAAAAAAAATGTTTTGTTAATAAAATTTATCAAAAAAAAATTAACTTACCTTTCTTTTCGTCAACATTTACAGATAATTCTAAAAGTTTAAAAAATAATATATATATATATAATATTTATGTCCATTTTTAATTACAAATATACTAATTATTTTTTTTATATATACTACATATATATATATATATATATATACAGTATATATTTATAATAATAAGTAATCAAAATTTTTTATCATATAAGTAATTATAAAAAAATTGTATCCTACCTATTAGGGAAAACAAAATAATGCCTAAAATAAAACAATAATATATTTGAGATTTTGACATTTTGGCTAAAAACTTGACAAATAAAATAAATTATTAGATTTATACGTATTATAAAAAAGCAAATGTTTTTTTATTTAATTAAATAATATGATTGCGTACATAAATTTTAATTAAAAATATATTTTAATAAAGGTATAGCAAACTAAATATTAATTAAATTATAAAAAATAATATTTGATTTTTCGTACTCCTAATAAATGTTTTTACTTATATGTAATTTTTATTATAAAAAATATATTAAACATCTGAATAATTAATTTTAAATATATATGTTTAATATATATATATATGTATAAATATATATATATATGTTTATTTATATACAACTATTTATTTATAACTATATTTATTATTTATAAATATATAAATACTGTATATTTAAAATTAACTATATTATCTCATTAATATTTTGTTAAATTTTAGTATAAATTAATTTTAAAAAAATAAAGTATTACTAAATTTAATTAATATGTATTTTATTGTTTTATATTATTGATATTTATGTCAATATAAATTATTAAAACACTAGATACAAATAATTTATCTATTAATATAACAATTATTTCATTGAAAAAAAATAATACATAATTATAGTTTATAGATTAATATTTTTCTTTTTACATCTAAATCAATTTACATATTTAATTTTTATTTAATAAAAAATGCTTAATAATATTGATTTCAAATAATTAAATTATTTTTTAATAATAATTGTATTAATTATTAATTATCATAAGAATATATTTTTTACATTACTAATAATTAATAGTACTTAAAACAAAACTAAAATTACAAAACATAATAATTTTTGATTATCAATAAAAAATAGAAACAGCAAAGAAATAGTTATAAAATAATAGAGAAATTTCTAGAAGTTTCTAAAAAAAGTTCTAGGGGATTGCCATGTTTATTTTGTTATTTGAATATTTTTTATTTTATTTTGTAATTTTTGTAATTTGAAAATTAAAATTAATTATATTTAAATATATTTAACTATAATATAATAAAATTATCAATAAAATAGTAATTCCAATAACCATAGATATGGGGATCCCATAGTATAACAGTAAAGTTATGTTTCTATAGAAATTTATTCATGAGAAATTTTCTAGAAACTTAATCAGGGAAATTTATTAGAAACTTTCTATTTGCCTTTCTCTACATATAAAACATAAATTAAAAAAATAACAATATTATAAAAACAATTAATTAACAAATATGACAATGTATTAATATTATCATGTAAATTTAGTTTTGTTTTAAGTACTATTAAATATTTATTATATATATATATATAATCATAATCAATACTTATGTAATTTATTAAATAAAAATTATATACAAATATGTTTACTATAATTTAATATACTGTATAAGAGCTAGTTGTATAATCTAGTATATATTTTAATAAAATGTTATCAATTATAAAATATATTAAGCCTAATCATTTAATAAAATTATCATGCAAAATTGGCTGTTTGATACATTTATCGTCATTGATTAGACTATATTTAATGTACGAAATTATAACTGATATAAACTATGAATGGAAATCATCGATACGATTGCCAGCAATTAGTTTATGTTTCAATAAATTAGAGTTTATTACAAACAGACAGTCTTTATATAACTATTACAACAACAACACCAACAACACGGCTGATGATAATCTTGAATTAGATTGGATTAACACAAATATGACTATTAGTCAACAGTATCAGTCATTGTTGATACCGGATAAGCTGATCAAAGATAAATGTTTTGTAGAAATGCCTGAATATTTTCATAGCCATCGACAAGAAAATCAAACAATATTTGGCACTTATTATAATTCGTACGCAAATCTAATCAGTTGTAATTATATATCCGATATAATCTATGCTATCGATTCAAATTATTATTGTATGACATTGTTTTTGGCAAACAGTTTGTCGATAATAGACGAACAATCAGATGATAGTCGTTATACTATTTCAAGTAAACCAACCAAACGTACAAATGCTGATTCAATGGTCTATATAATTGATTTATCGCTTGGAAACAGTACCGATCTATTGTTGAACATACATCACAATTATAGACGATTGGAAACACCTAAAAGCCCGGGCTATACAATGTTAGACTTGAAATACGATAGAACTTATGTAGAATATCAGCAAACAATTATCGAACTATTGCCCCGACCCTATCGTTCGCAATGCACTGACTATTCAAATAGACGAGACGGTGACGACGGCTACTATCATTCATATCAGGGATGTCTAGCCCAGTGTAAAATAAATAGGACTATAGTTGAATTTGGTGGCTATCCGTTTGATTATTTAGCCTACAATCGATCGATGGCCATCAATTTCCACAATGACTACCCTAACCGATGAGATTTACGTCTATTGTAACGATTGGTGTACCGAATCGCCTGATTGTCGCTACGATTTCTATACAATGGTTAATAGATTACAGGTCGGCCATCAATGGCAGTCGACAGTTAGTGTCGATAATCTAAATAAATCCAATAATAACGATAATAGGACTCAACAATTTATGGTAATGTTTCCATCGTTGCCAACTATAAACTATCGTCAATCGCCTAAACTATATCTAACAGAATTTCTGTGTCTAATGGCCAGTATATTGAGTCTATGGTTTGGCCTATCATTGATGCTTGTAATACATACCGGCTATCAAACTATATCAAAGTTGATTTATACTAATAATACTAATAATAAATTTATTATTAATAATAATTATAATAAGACTACTACTACTACTACTACTACTAATTATAATAATAATTATCATAAAAATTCAATTTCCACATTAATTTCTATCTAATGTTTTTATTTATTTTTTTTATTTATCATTATATAATACAAATAAACTTTTAATTTATTCATAAACTTTAATGATATTTTTTAATACATTTATCTAAAAAAAATATTGATAATAAATATCAATTATTTCTAATACAATAATATATAAAAATTAATTATTTTATTAATAATATATAGTTAATTATCAGTAATTTTTATTATTGCTATAATATATAGATTTTAGTTTTAAAATAATAAAAACAATTATATTTTATTATAAGTAAAATTGAAAGTAGTATTGATTTATTATTATTATTATCATTATTATTATTATTATTATTATTATTAAAACTATAAATATATAAAATACAATTATGAAAAATAATTAGTATTTAGTATTAATGTTTATATTTTAGTACAATATTAACTATTTTTCTATCATTTAAATACTGTATATATTTTTATCGATTCAATCTAAATATTTGATTTATAAGTCTATTACAACATTATACTATTATTGTAATATATTAAAACTAAAAAAAATATTAATGATTATATCATATTTAAAAGTTTTTTTATTTGCTAAAATTATCTTGTTACAAATAATTTATTATTATTTTTATTTTGTTTATTATTAGTATCAACTATATTTATAGTTGATATATGAATATTATTTTGATTATGATTACTAATATGATTATTAACAATGTTATTGAATATTATAAAATTATATTTATTGAACATGGTAAATTTATTTAGAAATTTTTGTAAATAATTTGAACAATAGATTAGCGAAAATCCAAAATAAAGACTGAATAGACTGCCGACCAGACAAAAGTACTCTTCAAACGATAGCTTATAGGATATCTCGTAATCGGTTTCCGGTTCACTCGGGAAACGGATATCGAAACCAAAACAACTATTATTTTTATTTTTATTATTAGTTGTCAAAACTTTTCTATGATTTATTGAATGATAATAATGGACACAATCGACAACTTTTGAACATTTATGATGACAATAATTGGTAATATTGTTAGCCATTGATCTGTTATTATGAAACGTATCGATATTCGTGTCTAATTTGCCATTACGTACGTAATATAAATTATCCAATGGATAACCACTGTATGTGCGTACAAATTGTCTAATCTGACACTCACATACGCATTGTACCATGGTAATTTTTTTTGTACAAATTGCCCGATCATTGCCATCAAATTTATACAATATTCGCGTACGTTTAAATTGCATATCATTTGAAACATACGTATCATTTTTATTGTTATTATTTTCAACGTACAATATGATTGCATTACTAATTTGCGTATTATAAACTATTTGTGCACGTGCATGAAATATTAGTAACAATTTTCTGATTTCACCTGGATCAGAATCTACTAGATAATTATTAAGCAAGGTAAAATGTAAAAAATGTTTGTACTGTGGATTATATTTGATAATATAATTTTCGCCTGGCTCATTATTCAATTGCGTAAATAATGTCCAACAAAATTTATGGCCATCAATCGATAGTTTCAAGTCAGCAATCTTATAACAATCAATTAGTTTATTATTTTTAATTACACTGCATCTAGTTAAGTTTTCAATTGGTTTTAACATGCTCAATTGTTTGCTAATAGACAATTGATTGAATTGTGTTAAATCAAATTGTTTACGCTGATGGCTACTATTGTTTGATATTTTATTGTTGAAAAATTTAGCTAGTTTATCATTGTTTAGTAAACTCAATTTATCCAGACAAATTGTAATTGCTGGCAATTTAAATATATGACTAGGACGAAATTTGACACTGGTACTATAATCGTAGCTAAAATATAGTGCACTTAATTTATACGATTGATACAATATAGCACTAATTAATAGCAAATTAATAATTAAAGTTAAAATATTAACATGCATAATTATGTTTTAGTTAAAAAGAGAAAAAAGTGATTGTAATTAATTAATTAATTATTGAAATAAAACTTTGATTTGCTAAACAACAAAGTAATTATAGTTTTAAATAACTAGTAATAAAATACTATTTATAAATAAATTATAATATCTATTAAACATATAATAATCAATCAATATGTTATATTTTTTTAATAAAATATTTTCTAACATTATATTTATATATTTTTTGTATTGTATATATATTTATATAAATTAATCATCATTATATTCAATAAAACTTAATTTATTATATTTTATATGACATTTGTCATTATTTAATTGATATATTAGTTTGTTGTTGTTATTACACAAAAGTTTATTTATTGTTAAACATATCTATTTACGAAAATAAAGTAATTTATCAATTGTTAAAATGAATAATATTTATTTAAATAGAAATTAAATATATTTTTAAAAGTTTCTACAGTAAACAAAAATTTAGTTATTTATTGATAGATAACTAATAAAATATTTTAAACTAAATAATATATTATAAGATTTTAATAACTTAAAAAATATACACATTAAACATTATAAACTTGTTTCTATTATAAATACAAAATTATCAAAAAAAAWAATAAATTAAAAAAATTAAATTTTTATTCTATTAATAAACAAAATATGTCAATAATTTAACTAGCTAATATTTATGTTTAACTAGATAATTATCATGTCGACTATTTGTCGAATCATAAGTAACATTAGTATTATTGTTAATTTTATTGTTAATTTTTAACGTATTAATAAATAGGGGTTTGTTTGTTTTCGTATCGTTTTGTTGGCTAAAATAATTGTAGACAATAGTCGATTGGCGTTGACATAACTGGCCAAACATGGTTATTGAAAAACCAAACCATATGGACAATATACTGGCCACTAGACATAGAAATTCATCGACAGTAGTTTTAGTCGATACCTCATAAATAACGTCAGGTTCGCGTGGAATGTCCACAAATAACGTCAAATTATCGGAATTATTGTTTAGTAGACCGACATCGCTAGGTTTAACAGTTAGTATATAATAATGACTGGAACATTGGCCATAATTTGAACAATAATCAATACATTGTTTACTTAAATAACCCAGATCAAATTCTAGGCTAAAATATTTTAGCAAATTATTTGTTTGATTATAGGCTAACAATAAATCTGGATATTTATTGTCGATGGGATACGTTTGCCAATATAGACAATTGGCAATACATTCGTCACGCGTATTAAATTTATTGCATTTTGTTTTTCTAAGATTTTTCATTAATACATTGTTTGTATGTTTCATTTGGACATAATTATATTCTAAGTCAATAATATTCATTGATTTTATGGTCAGGGTATTTAGTTTGATAAAAAATTTCGAATATGATAAACTAGTTATATATTGTTGCGGGTGATGCATAAACAATTTAATTGTACCTGGACCATCTAGCAATAGTACCTGTTTTGAAATATCTACTTGCAATAGCCATTGTCCATTTACAATATCTGGCGAATAAAATTGATCAGGCTCATTATCCAATTGGCTAAATGTTGTAAAACAATAGTTTTCTGAATCAATACTAACATTAAAATCGGACGTAATTGTGTGTGATTGCATCAAATCAATAAAATTACGATAGCTAACCACGTGATCCAATTGATACAACGATTCAAATTGTTGGCCAATTGTTAGATTTGAATTAAATTTATCCATGTCAAATATTTGATTATTATTTTTATTTAAACGATAGTATTGTTGACGTATGTCTGGTCTGATTAGTGTACGTTTATCCAGACATACGGTTACAGCTGGCAATGCTAGCCTCTCGGAGTATATCTTAACGTTTGTTGTGGTTTCGTATTGAAAGTATACGAAACTTATTGAATACAATTGATACAGACATCCACTGATACAAGTGATTATGATTATTATATTATAATAATTGAGTTTCATTTTTGTCAAAAAAAAATTAATTCAAATTTGTCAAATTATTATTGGATATTTTTAAACAAAAATAATATATTTTGAAAGTTTGTAGAAAAAGTAGTTTTTACTATTTTTTTTAATAGTTTTTACTATTTTTTAATAGTTTTTACTATTTTTTTAATAGTTTTTACTATTTTTTAATAGTTTTTACTATTTTTTTAATAGTTTTTATTATTTTTTAATAGTTTTTACTATTTATTTTAATAGTTTTTACTATTTTTTTAATAGTTTTTACTATTTTTTTAATAGTTTTTATTATTTTTTTAATAGTTTTTACTATTTATTTTAATAGTTTTTATTATTTTTTTAATAGTTTTTACTATTTATTTTAATAGTTTTTACTATTTATTTTAATAGTTTTTACTATTTTTTTAAATAGTTTTTATAGTTAATACTGTCTTATAGATTATATTGCATTTAAATGTTTATTTACTGTATTATTGAATTTATTTTTTTTATTAACATTATTTTTATGAAACTAAATTTTATGGTAAAAATAATTTATTAAATAATATGATTTATCTGTATCTTATATATAATTAATTTTCCTAACTAACTTTTTAATTAAAAACATTTTAATCAACTGTTGCATTTAAACATATAAAAAACAATATATTAATATATAAACACTATTATTTAAGTTTATTTAAAGTTATATAAATGTTATTAAAGTAAAATAATAAATGTTTATTATTATTAATAATAATATAAAAATCAATAGTAAATTTGATTTTTAGAGATAAAAATATAATAGTTTTTATATTATTTTATTAGTAAAAAACTACTATAAATAATTTAATTATACCAATAACAAAATTAATTATATTTGACATTTATTTTTGTTTATAAAAAATAGTGACTATAATTATCTTTATATTAAAAACAAAATAATCAATTTTTATGTTTTTTGTATTAGAAATAATTGTTATTAGTTATCAATTATTTTAGATAAGTTTATTAAATATGTTATACATTAGAGTTGTTAGTACTTTATTGATAAAAAAATATAATAATTTTTATTAAGTACATTATATTATTATTTTTCAAAATGTATAAAACTAAAAATATTTAAAATATAAATGTTTATACAGTATTTAAAATTTTTGAAAAAATTAATTATAAAATAAAATTTACAGTTGAAATAATTAAGATTAATATCATTTTTAATTAAATATGATCTATAAATAACATTTTAATATCAATTTTAAAACATACAAATAATTTTTGTCTCAATTTTTGTTATAATTTTTTTTAAGTAAATAACTATTAATAATATAAACTATATATAATATATTGATTTATTGTATGTAAAACTAAACGTTTAATAATGTTAGTTAGTATTAAAACTTTATGACAACAAAAATCAATAGGTTTTGTTACCACAACAATAATATTTATACATAATATTAATAAAAACAAAAAATAACATTTATTAAAAAATATTGTAGTTTACAAAACCTATTAAAAGAATAATATTTTTTTATTAATTAATAATAAATAATTTTTTTGAAAATTAAATACATTTTTTAATAATTAAAACAATTAGATTTATTAGTATTATTATTACAAAATAATTTTTAGTTTATTTTTTTGTAATATTATAAAATGCATTATGTATTTATAAATGTTATTTTAGTTTTCTTTTGTATTTGAAATAAATTATTGATTAGAAAATTGATTTTTGATTTTGATAATAATATAGTATTAAGTTTTTTAGTATTAAAGTACACCCTAGGTCACATTATTGTGTTATTAATTAGAAATAAATTATCTAATAATATATATATATATATATACTGTATATATATACAGGTATATATATATATATTTCAGAGAATTATTGCATGTATTTTTAAAAACATTTTTTTTAAAATTATAAATGATAAGAAAATAATGATAAAAATTATTTGATTAAAAAAATACAAAACTTATTATAAACCTGTTATAACTATTTTTTTAATAAAAAAAACTATTTAATAACTAAGTTATAATTTATAACTAAAATAAATTACAATTAATTTTTATTTATGTAAAATTAAATTTATTGAAACAAAAAATGTTATTATCATTCAATGTATATTTATTTAGTTTATTATTATTAGTTGTTTGTATACTACCGGTGCAACCAGTATTGCAGTCTAACAGCACACCCACCCATACCCACACCACTACCGCCACCAATGGTACCAATTGGATAGTATTAGTTGCCGGCAGTGCTGGTATTGCCAACTATGGTGACCAGGTATGCTCAACAATAAAAACAAACAAAATTAATTAATTAATTAACTAGGCTAATGTCTATCGTGCATATCACGCTGCACGCGCGCACGGTGTACCCGATAAAAATATTATCGTAATGTACACGGATGATATTGCCTATAATAAACAAAACCCGACACCCGGTATTGTAATCAATGAACCCAATGGTCCCGATGTCTATAATGGTGTACCCAAAGATTATATAGGCGATGATGTCAATCCTATTGTATGTATAAAAAATATATAGCAATTATACTATAGATGTACAGTATATATATATATATATATATATATATACTATATATATACTGTATATATACTGTATAAATACTGTATAAATACTGTATATATACTGTATATATAATATGTATATACTGTATATACACTGTATATATACTGTATAATATTATAATATTATTAATATTATTACATTATAATATACAGTGTATATACTATCAGCAAATTAACTATCTTATACTGGGAAAATGTTAATATCTTTTTAAATAATAGACGGATTTTGATAATGTTAGTTCTAAAATAAAGCTTAACTCCCCCGATTGATAAATCAATTAAAAAATATCAACTAAAAAATAGTTATTTATTTTTAAAATAATTTTAAGTAAAAAGTTGCGATTTCCAGCAAATTCTATGAAAAAGGTGAGAAATTAGAGGTGAATGTTATAGAATGTGATGACTTATTGACGTAATTCTATAAAGTTTTTTTTGTCAATTTTCAGTTTAATTTAAATTTATAGTAAATTTATAAAATATTTTGTAAAATTTTTTAATTGATTTATCAATCGGGGGAGTTAAGCTTTATTTTAAAACAAACATTATCAAAATCCGTCTATTATTTAAAAAGATATTAATATTTTCCCAGTATAAGATAGTTATTTTGCTGGGGGTATATGCTATGAAAAAACAGTGTCTAATAATTTAAATTAAAAAAAATATTATTACTAAGTAATATTTATTTTTTTTACAAGTTAATTTAATATATTGTATTATTTTTTATGTTTTTTTTAAATATAAATATTATTTATTAATTTTTAAAAAAATATATTTGTAGACATTTTTGGCACTACTGCGCGGCGATCGGACACTTGAACGCAATCATAAAAAAGTTGTCAAAAGCGGTCCAAACGATAACATTTTCATCTATTTTATTGACCATGGTAGTCCAGGTATTATTTATTTTATTTTTTATTAAATAAAAAAATTTAGCATTTTCTAATTATAAACTTTAAGCTAGCACAAAAAATTATCATTATTATTATTCTTATTAATTATATAGATGAGGTACGATTCCCACATGCAAAATTATTTGGCGCGGAATTAAATGCAGCCTTACGTGATTTATATGATCGAAAATTGTTCAATAAATTAGTATTCTATTTGGAATCATGCGAATCTGGTTAATAATTTTTTTAAAAATTTTTTAAATAATTTTTTAAAAAATAATTATTTTATATTAATTTTTTATAAAAATTAGGATCAATGTTTGAAAAATATTTGCCCAACAATATCAACATTTACGCTACTACAGCTGCCAATCCTAAAGAGCCTAGTATGTTTATGTATTGTGACGATAAAATTCGGCCATTTTGTCTAGGTAATATTTAAAAAAAAATTAAATACTATAATATAATATTTAATTATTATTAAATTTAATTTTTTAAAAAAATAAAATCTATCTAGGTTCATACTATAGTAATAGTTGGCTAGACAATTGGGAACATATGGACATCTATACGGAGACATTACAACAACAATATGATTATATACGCAGTCATACTAATAAATCGCATGTAATGCAATATGGCGATTTATCCATTGCTAAATTACCAGTATCATATTTTCTAGCTGGTCCAAAATAATATTTAGTCAGGTTGTTATTGAAAAAAATTAACAATGAAATTATACTAAGATTTTGAAAATAATTTTTAATAATAAATTAGTTGTGTGTTTAGTTGTAGTAATAAACTTATATATTTTTTTTGTTATTGATTTACAATATATACAGTATAATAGCTAAAAAAAATAATAAATAATTTTTAGATTTGATTAAACAAAAATTTATACAAAAAAATATTTATTTATTTTTGTTTGTTACATCAAATAAAAAAATTGTCTTTTATTATGATTATAAATAATATTATTTTAATTTAAAAAGTTTTTTCTGTATTATTATATAATAATAATTAAATTACTAGTGATTTTATTCATTGAAATCTAATAAGCATATTAATAAGTACATGGATAATTTAAATAACTATTATTAGGATTAGTATTATTTTTATTAATAATATTATTATTATTATTATTGGGATAGGTCCATTGTGCACCTGTATATCTAGATTTACTAACATTTTTCATATCGTAATTTTTAACAATTACACTATTATACTGACTATTATTAGTAGTATTATTATTATTTAAAACATTAATAACTGCTGGACTACTGCTAACCAAACATATGTTTGAATGGCAATATTTTTTGGCTAACTTTCCCAATAGACGGCTGAAAGCCATCAACGAAAAACCAAACCACATACTCAAGACTGACCCGATTAGGCACAGGTACTCTTCGGCCGACATTTTTACCGATATATCGTACAGTGTAGTGGGTTCGGCAGGAAATTCAATAACAAATACATAGTTATCCGGTTGCAATTGGCCGGGTAGATCAATTTTTTCCGTAATTGTCGACAATGTATAATACGTTGACTGACATTCCTGACGTTTATTACATTGACGATAGCACTGGTAGTCTATGGATCGATTGGTTAGACTGATAAATCTAGTTGTTTTATCACGATTATTATTATCATTATTATTATTATTATTAGGTGACGACAAATAATAGTTTCGATTATTTGGATAACGATTTGGATACCATTGACCATAGAATTGGATTTTACATTCAGCCCGACATTCGTCCATTGTTTGACCATTGAAACAATTGTTACGCCGATAGTGGAGCTGCGGCTGACGGATAACCGTTTTTTTGAAACGTACAAAACATACGTTACCATTACGTGTGTTAACAAATGCCGATCCCTTACGCATCTCTACGTAAACGGTTTCGTCCCACGCGTGCATAGTTAAGACAACATAGTTTGGTTGAATCATCGATTTGTTTAGGATATTAATTTTGGCCAAATAATTGATCTTAATATCACTGTCGTCAACAAAATACCTGTGCTCCATCTCCCTGTCCCATTGACTAAAATAGCTAACACAATAGCTTGCCTGGGTAATCGATTGTCTATATTTGGATATATTCCAGCATTGTCGATAATTGTTATCGTATGCATTATAGACCGTACAATCTACTAATTGATCTAGCTTAACTAATTGGCTAGCTTGATCATACATTGATTGATTATTGAATTGATTGAAATCAATAGGTTTCAATATAATACCCGTTTTACCGAAACATACGGTAATTGCCGGTAATATTTGAAAACGTTTGTCCTCATAGCGTACGTTAGTTGTTGTATCATAGGATAGATATATACGACTCATACGTACTGTTTGATAGATACAACCCGTTAGACATATTAGCTTTAGTAGCCATGTTTGGAGAAATATTTTCATAAAATGTTTAATTTTTTGCATTTTTTACAATTTTAAAAAAATTAATAATAATAATCAATGCATTAAATTTCTACTAAAAAACATATATATATATAAGTTATATACAGTATATATATTGTTGTTTAATATTTGCAATACAACAGCATTAATAATGTTCATAAAAAAACTATAAAAAAATTGATTGACATTTCTTTCATAATATATTTGACTATATTGATAATATATTTAACTATGAAATAAATATATATATATATATATATATATATATATATATATATATATATATATATATATATATATATATATATATATATATATATCTTAAGTAGTATTTAATTATAGACTAAAATAAATCATTGAAAAAATATTGTTAAATATTATACAATTTATTTATACAAAAAAATTTATTTCTATCTTATTAACTAAACATTTAAATTATAGTGCATTTAAAATGTTGTGTTAAAATATGTTATATATTGATATATTCAATATATAAATTATAATTCACAATAAAATTATTGTAGTATTTATTATAGTCAATATTTAATAAAATATTGTTTATCTATATTTTTATTATAATATACTATAATAAAAAAATACTATAATAATATTGTACAGTATATAATTTGCATATCAAATTTATTGAGAGTAAAGCAATTACTATACAATAATTTAGTTTTAAATAATATAATTCAATAATATAGCTTTAAGTTTAATAGCTTATTGTTTATTACTATTTTTTATTAAATATAAATTTTTACAGATATTACATAATTATATACTTAAACAATAATAAAAAAAATTAATAAAAATTAATTAGTTGATAATTTATTTTAAATAATAATTAAATCTATATTGTATTATTTAATAATAACATTTAAAAATCTAATAATTTCAAACATTTCAATAAACATTATTATAATTAAAATGATAAATAATTTTTTAACATTACAATTAAATATAGTTATTTTATTTTATTTTTATTTTTGATTAAAATTTTTCATGAAAATGATAATGGTGTTTTTCATTGTTAACTTGTTTAACAACTAGCAAATTTTGTTGCTGTTGTACACTAGGGTTGACAAAATACTGTCGATATTTAGCCAACAATTTATCCAAATAGTCGTTTAGTGCTATAACAGCAAAACCAAACCAAATGCTCAAAATCGATGCCATTAGACACAGATATTCTTCTAATGGCATCTTATAGTAGATTTCGTAGATAATTGTCGGTTCGGCCGGCAATAGTAGTAACAATATATACGTTTTTGGAGCTTGATCATTTTTACTATTACTATTATTATTTCGATTAATTGCCAACGACAATTTTTCCTTATAATAATCAAGCTTGTAGTACGTTTGTACACATTCAGCGTACTGATTGCACGCAAGTTGGCATCGATCGTTTTGTTGTTGTTGATGTTGATGTTGTTGTTGATGATGCTGTTGTTGTTGTTGTTTAGGTTGTTGTTGATAGCTAAATCTTAGCATGCTAGTTTTCGATTGATTTTCAATTTGCAGATCACCAGGTAGACTATTATGGTTGGTTATAAATTGATCAAGTTCACATTCCATTAGACATTGGTAACATGATTTACCTAATGGTCGAAAACATTTACGGCTACGCCTGGTATCGGTTATCAAATTTGTATACTGGACAATTGTCTTTTTGTAGATTAGCTGGCACAAATTACTCCCAACTGTATTCAACATGATAGCACCGGCACGTAGACGTTCATAGGCACGTTCTGTGGGCACGTGCATTGCCAATGACATACGATTGCCAACAATTAGTTTATCATCCAGGATATTTATACGGGCTAAATGATGTATCTTGGATCTATCATTATTGTCCCATGATGATTGATTAATAGTAGCATCATCATTACTATCACCATGGGCAAATAATGTCAGACAATAGGTTAGATTGCTTATTGATTTACGATATTGGGCAATTTGTTGACATTTATAACGATATTTTGTCATCGATATATGTGTTTGGCAATCGATAAACTGGTCATCCTGGATAAATCGGGAAAATTGTTCGCCAATTGTTAGCCTATTGAAATTATCATAATAATAATTATAATTATTATTATTAAATTCCGATAACTTGTTAATTAGTCCCCATTTTTGTATGCACAGTGTTAGAGCTGGCAACTCTACCGGTTGTTGGCCATCCTGGTTTTCTTGTTCGTATTTGACATTGGTAATTGTTTCGTAACGATAGTAGATAGTACTAAGCTGTACGGTTTGATATATAAAACCAGCCAGGCACAATAGTTGTATTATGTATAATTTTAAATTAATATTTTTTAATTTTAACATTTTTTTTTTGAAAAAAAACAAAATTTTGTTGTTAAATAATTTTTATAGTATTACAGTATATAATAATAAATACAGTATTTATTAATTAATAAAATAGTAATAAATTAAATTTTCTATTATTATTATTGTTAATACGTATATACAGTATATATAATTTATAGATATTTTTTTATTTTTTGAAACTAATAATTAATAATACATGATATTAAAACAATTGTTAAGAAATAATTTTATTATTTATTTATTTATTATTATTTTAAAAACAATATAATAACTGTGAAAAATTACATATGTTTAACTAACATAATGTGTCTAATTATGTAAATTATAATAAATAAATAATAAAAACAAAAACAAAATAAAAAGTTTTATTATATTTACTAACTTTTGTTTTGTGTAGTGTTTTTATTATATATAATTATCAAATCAATATTATGAGTTTATTTTTATTGAATTTAAAAAAAAAAAATTTTATAGAAAAAAATCTAAATATAAAAATTGTCATTTTATTTGATAAATTGATTAATTGATTATGTTATGCTAGTAAACAAATTAGACTATTATTATTATTATTATTATTATACTGCTTAGTAAAATATTATTTTATTAAAATTGATTGATGATTTTGAAAGTTAATAATAAATAAAAAATCAATATAAATACTAATATTTTATTTTTTATTTTTTTGATTAATAATAATTAAAAAATTTGTTGATCATTCAATATTTAAGATTTTTTTTTGTAAACAATTTTATTAAATAATAATAATATTACTGTATTTGTTTGAAAAAAAATTAATTAATAATCAGTATTTTTTATATTTTATAAAATTAATATTAAATTACTAAATAATAAAACAATGTACTGTATATTGAATAAAATATTTTATTTTAATTGTATTATAATATAAGTAACTAATTATTTAAAGTTTAGTCAATACAACAACAAA